GATGATGTACAGGGGATAACTTTGATTCTTTTGCATTTATTCAAACCTGTTCTGTGAGCTAGTATGTAGTCTATCTTGGAGAATGAGCCATGTGCAGCCAAAAAGAATGTATATTCTGATTTTGTGGGGTGGAATACTCTATAGACATTTATTAAGTCCATGTGTTCCAAAGCTTGGTTTAGTTCTAGTATTTCCTTGTTGATTTTCTGCCTAGATTATCTGTCTATGTGTTATAGTGGGGTATTTAGATCCCCCACTACAATTGTATTAGTGCTTATTTGGTTTTTCATGTTACTTAATATTTGTTTTATATAGTTGGGGGCAGTAATATTTGGTGCATATATGATTGTCATCTCTTCCTCTTGAACTGTTCCCTTTACAAGGATGTAGTGGCCTTCTTTGTCTCTCTTAATGAGTTTTGGTTTGAAATTTACTTTGTGAATAAGATTGCTAATCCTGCTTTTTTCTGGGCTTCTGTCACATGGAGAATTGTTTTCCATCCTTTCACTTTCAGTCTATGGGCTTCTTTTTGCAGTAGGTGTGTTTCTTGTATAAAACATATTGTCGGATTTTGCTTCTTAATTCATTCTGCCAGTCTCTTTCTCTTGTTGTATACAACATATTGTTGGATTTTGCTTCTTAATCCATTCTGCCAGTCTATTTCTCATGATTGGTGAATTGAGGCCATTGACATTGATGATTATGACTGATATATTCTGACTTATTATTGTCATGTTATTGTCCTTTTGTTGACTCTTTTTACTTTTTCTCCCCTCTCCTTTTAGTTTCTTGCCTTGCCTATTTGATTTGGTCTGTTGGGCCTCATGGTGTTGTAACCTTCATTGTCCTTTTCTAGGATATTGTTTACAATTCCTTGTAGTGCTGATTTGGTGTTCATGAAGTTTCTCAGGTGTTCTTTGTCATGGAACACCTTTGTCCCCATCCACTTTGAAAGAGAGTTTTGCAGGATACATCAGTCTAGGTTGGAGGTTGTTTTCTTTTAGGACTTGAAATACCTCACTCCAGGCTCTCCTTGATCTGTGTGTTTGTATTGAAAAGTCAGCTGTGATTCTGATGGCCTTTCCTTTGCATATGATTTGTTTCTTTTCTCTTACTGCTTGTTGTATTTTTTCTTTTGTTGTTTTTCTGGGATCTTGATTATTATATGTCTATGTGTAGATTTGTTTTGACCATGGCTAGTTGGAGACTTATATGCCTCATTTATCTGTATGTCTATTTCTTCCCCCTCTTTTTGGGAAGTTTTCTGTCATTAATTCTGTGAACAGCTTTTTAAAGTCATTTGTATTTTCTCCTGCTACTTCATGGATTACTATCAGTCTTATGTTATTCTTCTTTGCATCATCTAGAAGTTGTTGGATTGATTTCTCATGATCCCTTACTGTTTTTAAGAGACCTCTCTTTTCATGGTCACTGACTGCAATCCTATCTTCTATATCTGAAATCCTATCTGTACAATCTTTTATTCTGTTGCATACACTTTCATTAAAATTTTTAATCTCCTGGATATCTGTTTGAATCTGTTTATGGATTCCATTTCTTTCCTCTGTTGGACATTCATTGTTTCCATTTCTTTCTTATGCTGGGCCTTCATGGCTTTTGTCATGGTCCTGAGCTCATCTATTTTTTTTTCTCAGTTTCTGTTCTAGAGTTTCAAATCAGAGTTCCATTTTGCTCACCATCTCTATGGTTATCTGGGAAATTATTTCTGTTTTGAATTTTTCTAGAGCCTGATTGATCTGTTTTGTTACTTCCTGTGCTATGGATTTGGGGCATCCTGCTGGTTCACTATCTGACTTTCATCCCCATTTACCCTACTGTGTGCCATTGGTGAACTGGAAGTCTGTTTTGTGTCTTGCTTAGGTGTTTTCTCAGTTTTATTTTTGTTGTTGGGTTGTCCTTGGTTTGATTTCTGGCTTATCACTTAAATCTTCCTGATATAGCTGGTAACCTGGGAGAGGAAATATAATGTGTTCTGACCATGTTGTATAGGAGTCTGAGTTGTTGAGTCAGGGTTGGATATGGTATATTTTTATAACAAGATATTAATTTGATTTAAGTATGCTATTGTAATACTTCCTACACTTATTCCAACCCCATTCCTGTGGTTTATTAGTATAAATGGTCCCTAAGGAGTTATAGTTCAACCTGCAATTTTTGGGTTTATGATGTTTCTAAAGCAATGTACTTTTGGTAAAATTTATACTTGCAAGTGTGAATTTTGTTCTTCTGGACTAGGCCTATGTGGTATGATGCTCCACGCAAATGCTGGGCTTCAGTAGCTAGTGAAACCTCAGCCAAGCATGTGAGCGATGGTCTACATCCCCTATGGTTAGTGCTCTGCATTGCCAAGCTGCACCATACAACAAGTTAGGCACATGATATGCATTACTGACATATGGTGTTTTCAACTTTAATGAATTTATTGAGATGCAGCTGTATAGCAAACTGAGAAACATGTGCAATCAAAAGAAACCAAATAACATAATTTTACTGTTATTTTATTTTCTTCATGAAATTTTTTGTGACTACTAAACTGAGCAACTTATTCTTATTTAGTTATATATTTTTAAAAGCTTATGGTGTTTCATTGAGAACAAAATGCACTTGCACATTTGATGAGTTATTTGCTCATAGTAAGGTGTGGTATATGTAGACATTTCTTTTGTGAAATGTTGTTATCCAGACTGACTAAATATTTTTGTAGGATCTTCTGCAATCAGATGCTAGGTGATAGAATTAAATTGTGAAACTTAAACCAAAATTCCTATCTTACTTTGATGAGAATCTAATTGTATGTACATTGTGGCATTAATAGCTGAGGCATAACTTAGTTTCCATTGTTTCTAAACAGTGAAGGAGTTTGACAAGAATAATACTGTGCACAAATGAGGTCTTGTCAAGAAATTGAAATTTTGAAAAGTAAAGAAAAAAAAATGAGAAAATATAGAAAATAGTGAAAGCATATTAACCTCAAAAGAGCATATTCCTTGGACAAGTCCATGAAAGGTAATACAACTTTAATATAAATTTTAACAAAACAGGATGTCAGTCTACTGTGTAGAGGTTATCCTCATGTCCAATTTAAGAGCCTTGTCCTTTCCCACTTTACAAACAGGCAATGACTTTGTACTTGACCTTTGTAATTCTGATGAGTTGAGATCTTCTGAGTGTGCATTCCACCTTGGAAAGCAGCCTTCATGGAAAAAGAAAGGAAAGATTTGATCAAACAGGAGATTAGGAGGGCAAGAAAGAGAAATAATACAATAATAGGTCTTCTGAACCATTCCCAAGTGTCTCAAAATCAGACTCTTCTTGCCTACCTTTGTTTCTTAATTAGTTCAGCTGATGTGTGGCTCTTCCGTTTCTAAACACATTTTCACAGAATCTCTGGATTCACACAAAGTCAAAGGCTCACATATACATTGAACATTTATATTTTCCCGTGAAATGTATCTAAAATTTTGTGAGGTAGGTAGATGTTCCCAAACTGCCCACAATATTGAACTGAATTTTTGTTGGTGTTAATTCAATAAATTTTAATGAAGTATTTTTTTTATGTGTTAGTGGTAATGCATAGTAGATGAGGCACTACAGTAAGAAAATTGGGTCCTGGCAATCAAAACTGGCTGCATCATAGTGAAGATAGAAAACAAAGCAGTTATAATGCACTGAAGGATTGTAGCGGGAAGCATCCCCAGGGCTTATGGGACTCGGGGTTGCAGGAGACATGTTAGGTGAAGACACTTTTAGATTGATACTCTAAAGATGTGATTATGTTATTTAGATCACAAACAACATAACCAAAGGACACTTTATGGAAAGAGGTGGGGGAAAGAGTGTGAAAGTACAAGAGTGTCCAGAAGTCACCATTGTGGAACGATGATAGGAACAATTGTGAGGCTGAAGCAGAGGCAGAGGTTCCTTAAATTATGCAGGGCTTTGAAGGTCAAATTATGCTTCACCTTTTTCTGATAGCAAGGAAGAGTATTAAGGGATCTTACTCTGTTGAATGGCTTGATACAATTTGCTTTTTGAAAGAATACCCCCAAGGTAACAGGATAAAGAAAAAGTTTGAGGCAGGGAAGTAGAATAACATTCCAGGAATACTGGTTGTACAATACAGGAGATGGGACTAAGGCAGTAGTGTTAGAGAAAGAGATTATACCAAATCACTTTTGAAAAGATTCCAGAGTATATACAGGAAGAAACTGATGACATCTTAAATGTAGAATAAGAGTAAGAAAGGAAGTGCCTCACTTGAGTATCCTGGAAGAAAGGAGTTCTGTTTCTGAGTTATAGATCACAGGCAAAAGGCCAGATGTTAGGAAAAGGATGAGTGGAATTTTGAGTGCCTGAGAATTTTACCTCCATCCCAATGTAGAGAGGCACCAAACTCCACAGAGAGAGGCATCAAAGAGCAGGAAAGAAGGTTCAGCATGAAAGCTGAAGAGTACAAGTACACTTAAGAACACACAGAGGAAGAGGAGAATGAAGAAGACTGAGAAAAGAATGGACGCTGGAAATCTGAGTGGGAAAATGCTGCAATTCCAGTGTGTAAAGGTAGAGGGTGAACCATGAATAGAGTGTCAGGCTAGTTATCTGCCAAGAATGGGTCCAGCAATTTGTGTTACTTTTTAGCCCTCATGATTTAATTACAGAGACAGAGAAGACTTTTTGGGACAATCTCTTATATACATGCTGAAGTTTTCACTCTACACCTTCCTGTGTCCTTCTCTCTGGGGCCCCTAGTGCTTCCTAGCTCATTCCATTGACAGCCAGCATTTTGAGTCCTAAATTAGTCACACTACTGAGTGCATTTTTTGCTATAGCTTGGTTTTTTTTTTCTTCTAATATTACCGGTGGCCTAGGCTTCTCTCTGTGAAATACGATCCTCATTATTATGGTTTTTGTTTTATTTTTTTGTCACCTTGTAAAAAGTTTCTTATTACTACTATGTACACTACTCCCTAACTTTTTAGACTCCATTCACCCATGTACTTTTTCCTTAGTGTCCTGTCACTTGTGGACATCTATTATACCAACAGCACTGTCCCACAGATGTTCATAGACTTCCTATCCTCCTGGAAGTCCATCTCATTCCATGGCTGTGTGCTCCAGCTCTATGTCTCCTTAGCAATGGGTAGAACAGAGTTCTTCCTGCTGGGGACCATTGCCTATGACTGCTATGTGGCAGTGTGCCACCCACTGCACTACACACTCATCATGAATGGAGGGCTGTGCCTTGGCCTGGCTGCTGGCTGCCTGGTGGCTGGTTTCATGAATTCACTGATGCAGACCATCATCATCTTCCAGTTACCCTTGTGTCATAACATCATTAATTACTTTGCCTGCGAGATGCTGGCTGTACTGAGGCTGGCCTGTGCAGACATCTCCTTCAACATGATCATGGTGGCCATCTCAGGGTTTCTGGTGATCATGCCACCCTGCTTTCTTGTCTTGTTCTCTTATGCTTGTGTAGTCCCCACCATTCTGCACATTTGCTTCTCTCAGGGATGCCTCAAAGCCTTTGGGATATGTACCTCCCACCTCTCTGTGGCATCCATGTGCTTTGGAACAGCCTTCTCTTCATATATGAGGCCTGTCAGTGGTTCCTCCACAGAACAAGAGAAGACGGTTGCCTTCTTCTATGCCATAGTGACCCCAATACTTGATCCCTTAATCTACAGTTTGAGGGACAAGGATGTGATTGGTGCCTTACAAAAAGTACTGGGAAAATTTAGTCAAAAGGGATAAAGATTCAGAGACTAGTTCCTTCCTTCCAACAGTCAGAAGAAAGATATTCCAGACAAATATGAATGAGGGATATGTTCTTCCTCCTAAGATTTTCTGTCAAGATGGATGAGTTTTCAACGCTGGTTCTTGTCCTCACTGCCCTATAAAACATGCACAAACAAAAGCAAAACTTTCTTTCATTGTTGAAGTGGACAGTGACTCTATTTGCAGGTTAGATTGTAAGCTGCTAGAGTGCCAAGCAGTGGCCTAACATATTTAATCCCCAGTTCTTTAACAATGCTACTGAATTTCTACTGACTGAATGATTTATTGACACTTTTGTTACTATGTTAGTTGTCTCTTATGAAGTGTATGAAGACAGTATGTTGAAATTTAGAACATTAGACAGTAAGTTGTTTTTAAAAGCCTCAGATACAGAGCTAATCAGTAGATGGTACACTTCATGGGACCTTACCACTTGCATAAGGCCTTTCATTACTTTTTAAAAAATTAACTCTTTTTTGATATCATTTTTTACTTCTGTTTCTTCCTTATTTGTGGAATACTTACTTAAATGAGTTTAATTTATTAATTATATGGCAAATGTATACATATATATTTAAATGTATTCTATTACTAAGTATCCCATTGTGTGTATGTTTTCCCATGCAACATTACATTTTGAGATCTACTAGCACTGTTCATGCTAATCCACGGTGCTCTCAATAGTCTAGCTATCATTCTTGGTGATGGCACTGAACCCCTGGTGTGGGTTTGTACACAGGACTCAGATTTCTAGGTTACAGGAAATACTCTAAGGAATGACCTTGTGTTTTAACTTCTGTAGAAGATTGTTCTTTTTATATGTACAGGCTCACCAATATTTGGCATGGTTTGAAAGTTTCCAGCCTAAGGGATACAACATGATTTTATTTTCATGACTTTGATATGTACTCGTAGCTACACACTGCATTCCTGTCTCCTGCCTCATCCCCAACTGCTGTACCCTTGCGACCCCCACTGCAGTTCATGATTATCTCCACTCCTGCTCCCTCCAATTCTTTATCCAGCTGACATCTTTTCAATGAGATTTACACAATTTCCCTGTTTGTTAAAGTGCACTCCTTCCTGGCCTCCACTCCCATTTCCTCTCCCTTGCCATTGTCAAAAGAATTTATTTCCTGACATGCTTTGCAAATAACTCATTTTAAAACACCACTCTCCTGCCTTCACCCCAGATTGCAAGACTCGTGGTCTAGTGCACTAATACACTCCAGCTGTCTAATCTCATGCTTGTCTCACAGTAGTTGCAATATAAAACATTTTCTGTGTGAATCAGAGTGTTAATCATTTGAGTTTCTACTGCTCTACACTGTGTCATCTTGCTCTTTGCCAAATTTTCATTTGGGCTTTCTGCCATTTTTTTTGCTTATGTATATATTGTAGATATTAGTCCTGTTCTGTTAAAGGCACTGCAAATCAATATTTCCAGTCTGTCATCTTTCAATTAATTTTATCTATGGAAAACCAGCCATAGGGGTATATGTCTGCAATCTTAGCACTCTGGGAGCCTGAGGCAGGAGGATCCCAAATTTCAGTCCAGTTTGGGCATTTTAACCCCTTAGTGAGAACCTGTATGAAAATTTTAAAAAATGAGAAACAAACTGGAAGATGTACTTCAGTGCAAAGGCTCACACTTTAAAAAAAAAAAACAAGAAAAGAAAAAAAGGAAAGAAGAAAAAAACCCTTTATCCATAGACCCCTTTGTTGAACAACAGAAATCCTTCATCTTGGTGTAATCAAAATCAATGTATTTTGTTTTATGATTTGTGCTTTGGAAGTTTGTGTGTGTGTGTGTGTGTGTGTGTGTGTGTGTGTGTGTGTGTGTGTGTTTTCCTGAAATATGTTCCTGCTACTAGGCCTCAAAATGCTATATTTTTATTTAATTAAATTTTAACTTTCACCTTTTACATTTTTTTTTTTAGTACATGAACATGCATTTTTACATATGCTGTTAATTAAAGATCTAGCCTTAGATTTTCTTTGCAGTGGTCCATTAATTAACCAATTATTTCTTTACTCACTCATTTGTAGTAACTCTAATGCATGTTATTAACTACTGAAAGAATGTTTTGAACTCTGAAGTCATTTTTGTTTTCTGCCTGCTCTTGTACTATGCAATTCTATTATTCTATTTTAAAAACTATTTTAATTTTGTAGTAAGCCTTTTTACGTAGTATGCCACACATAAGATAGGTAGGTAAATTTATCTTTTTTTTTTTTTTTTTTACTAGGGGTTGAATTCAGGACCCAGCTAATTCCCAGCACTGGCAAATTTATCTTTTCCAAGTTAATTCAGCTATTTAAAGAACTAAATACTATATAAAATTTTGATTAGTTTTACTAACTCTCCCTTAAGTTCAACTGTAATTTTGATGGGGTTTGAAGTTGGTTTGAGGACCATTTTGATGTCAACTTTTATAATATATTGTTCCTGTTGAAACATGAAGTAGCTTTATAGTTATGCAGAAAATCTGCTGAGCATTTGAGAATCATCTCCATATTTCTTCACTGTTTGTGAAATACTTGTCACATTGCAGACACTCTCCTAAGTGTGTGAATGCCATGGTGAAAAGCAAGTCAAACTGCTTTTAAGGAACTTGCATTCTCATTAAGGGAAACAAGCAATAAATATAGGAACAAATAAAATAGAGTACAGTGAATGATGTTATTTGCTATGGAAAAAAATAAGATAGAATAGATAGATAAAGAATCTTAGGAGGACTGAAAGTTTTGGCAAAGACTAAATACTAAATTCCCAAATACTTTATAATGTGTTGCTGTCTTAAGTGACATTTTATTTTACTTTTCTGATTGGTTACAGTTGGTGTACAGAAATACTATAGATGGCTTATTTCTCGTTCTCATTAAAGCTAATATATTATTGAAATTTTTTCTAAACATATACTATATATATACTATATACCTTTGTAATTTTTGTATATATTAATTTATTTGAGGCCAGAATGTCCAATATCCTGTCAAACTCTAATTATGTGATTATATGTCACTTCTATTGCCACTTCTAAATACATCCAGAGGTTCCTCACTCAGTATAACATTTGCTGTGTATATGAGATATTTTACCTTTGCCAAGTTAAGGGCATTTCCTCTAGTTCCTACTTTTAAATGATTTTGCAAAGAAATGGACAGTTTGATTTATCCAATCCCTTTTTAATCCATCAATCAATAAAACTATATGAACTTTTCTTGAGGCCTACTAATGTAGTTAATTATACCAGTCGATTTTCTGATGGTGAACTACCCTTGAATCTCTGAGGATAAGTAATGTGTTATCATGGTATATGGTTTTCCAAAAGCACACTAAACGATTTCCTTACCTAGGAATCAGTGGGCCTATCATCAGCTTGCCTAGGCACATCCTTACTACTTTCTGGAAAGGGCACCGGACCTGCTCACAGACTGAGAGTAGCAGAAGTGTGAGTAGTGCAGAGATAAACCAGCCTCCACAGTGCAGCTTTACTTACAATAGTAAATCCATTTTCCTCTCTAAGAATCTTCACCTGCTGGCTGTCTGAACTTTTCCCTAGGCTTTAAAGAAAATTGTGATATGCCATATACTTTACTAAATTTGAAAAAAAGAAGGGGAAATTAGTTATCAGTGGACAGTTAAAAGTCTCTGACATAAAGAGTGGTTGATATTATTATGTATCTTGAATAAAAAAAGTACTGGTGATAAATGAGAAATCAGGAAATGGCTGTGTACATAAAATGAGAAGACCATCTGTACTCTAGCAAGAATGAGCTATACATGTATAGACAACTCCCATTTACATTATTAGCATGAACTATAAAACCAACAAATAAGTCTGTAAATCAAATGCAACATTTTATGCAAAAACTCTAATTTGAAAAAATATGTAAAAGATTTAACATAAATAAATATCTGCTTCTGTGTGAAGACAATGCTATAAAATACAAATAGTCTCAAGTGAATATTTGAACTCATAGCAATAGCAATCCAAATGTAGCAGACATTTTTGAAAGTTGTACTGATTAGATTGATTTTTAAACTTCATGTGAAAGAAAAACTTTTAATGAAAATTTCAATGCTAATTTAAGACTTTGCTGCTTTTCTCCCTCCAGCTCTCCCTTTGGTGTCCTCTACACACAGGATATCTGTTGCCATCAGCGTCAGAAAAAAACAAAGGGAAGTTAGCAGTCAAGTTTCAGCACAATGCTAGGTAGCTGAGTACAGCTGAGAGCAGCACAACAGAGGAAATCTCCAGTCTTTCTTGGAGGGAGACAGAGGGAGAGAGTAGAGGGACAAGGAAAGGAAGAGGGAGAGGTGCAGGGGGGAGACTCAGAGTTTTTCCAGACAATATGGTTGTACTTTTATTAAGACTTCTGAAAATTAAAGTTTCTAAGTTATAAACAAGCACAGGGTTTGTCTTCCTTAAAGGAAAGGGAAAGATTAAAACCCCAAGAACCATTGCAGGATGTGGTAGTAGAATTCCAAATGTGGAGAGCAGCCCAAGAGAAAGCAACATCTCATTGGGAACTAGAGTAAAACTGTCCCCCTGCCCATGCTCACATAAAAGTATGCAGAGCACCCCGATAGTCTCCTGAGTTCCCTGTACCAGAAACAGTTACTCATAGGGATGCGGAGAGAATTAAAGACATAATTGTGTCTGCTTGCCTACCAAGTAGGGCACAAGGGCTCACCATTCAAAGTAGAATCAGTGAAGAATAAACTTAGTTCCCCTGAGAAATTAAAGTTTGCCAACTTCTTCGCCAACCCCAGGGACAAGGAAAGCAAAATTCCATTTGTAAGATTGAAATGTAGGTTAAGGTTTTAGATGCAGAGGTGACCAGATGGAGGGGGAGGGAAAAGAAAAGAAATCTAATAAGCAAAACATAATTGACCCCTGGAGATTTCCTTCCTAAAGTTTGAGACAGTTAGCTGCTCCATTTGCACTGTCTTCAAATTCCAAACTTTC